CCATCATCATTCTCAAAACATTTGCTTTGTAGAGATGATAATATGCATCACAAACCAAGCCACAACAAAATAGGCGATCAGTGAGAACACATCTCTCTCATACCTGAGTCTCTGTGGATTTGGGTCTCTAAAGCACTGACTGACACAGGCATTTATTCTTTGTTAAGTGTCACTGTCAGTTGGATCAGCTTGATGGCACAGAAAAGCTAGGTCGCACCATGTTCGTGTCGTCGTTGTTAGGTGCCATCGAGTCGCTTCTGAGCCACAGCGGCCTTGTGCACGGCAGAAGGACACGCCTCCCAGCTCTGTACCCTCCTCACCGCTGTCTCTTTGCTTGAGGCCACTGTTACAGCCACCCGCCAGTCCATCTCCTGCGGGTCTTCCTGCTGTCCGCTGCCCCTCTGCTCTATCAAACTCCATGCCCTCCTCCAGGGGCTAGTCTCTCCTGACACGTAGCCCTAGTATCGAAGATGAGGTCTCGCTATCCTTGCTGCCTCTAAGGGGCGCCCTTGAGTAGATACCCATTAAAATAATGGTATCGGACACAGTCCTTATTTCCACTTAATTCACTAAGATTTGGAAAGGCTCTTAGAATAGGAGCCCACAGAATAAAACTGGAAAAAAGCTCTCAATTATGAGGTTCAACATTGACAACCATTTTTCAGTTGTTATTAGCAATAGCTTTAAATGAACACTTTTGGTCTTTTAAAAGAAAATAATAGGGTCGGAAATAATATAACTAACGCTCATCTTTTAAAAAGTGAAAGCTTATTACTGACTTTTTTCTTATGATGGAAATATAGAAAATTAGTTTACAGTATCTCCACTTAGTTACTTCCATAAAGAAAAGATATGTTTTAAAAATTATATTTTATATACTTGATATTATTAAAGAAAAATTTGAAAAATATATATACCATGAGGGAAATAGTAAGAAAGACTTGATTATTTGGACTCAAAAACTTATTTTTAAATTATTTGTGATTTCTTTCAGCATATACTATTGCTAAGTATGGTATGTCGATGTGTGTACTGGGAATGGCAGAAGAATTTAAAGGTGAAATTGCAGTCAATGCATTATGGCCTAGAACAGGTATGTACTTAAAAAAATAATCTCTGGACTCTTACTGCCCTTGACACTCTTGAGATGTGTTGTGGGTGGCCCGGGTTAGTGGTGAGTAGACTGTGACCAGTAACCAGAATCTGTCTCTCTGGGAGAGAAGTCAAACGCTCTATTATATTACACCCGATCTTTTATCTTTTGTTTTAGTCTTAGTTCAGTTGTTACATGGATGGGGTAACAATGAATGCATGGATCAGGTACAATTTTGTATGTGCTCTTTATTGATATTATGTGTGTGTGTGTGTGTGTGTGTGTGCGCGTGCGCGCGCGCGCGCAGGCGCGTACTTAGAAGAATATGTGGAGATATTTAGATTTAATAGCTATACTGCTAGATCCTACTAGATGTAGAGGGCAGAGAAATGATGTGCTTTGGGGAAAGACCTATGGGGCACCAAATTGAGTGAGCCCTGGTGGTGCTGTTGGGTAAGCATTGGACTGCTTACTGCAAGGTCAGTGGTTCAAATGTACCACTGGAGAAAGTTAAAGTTACCTGTTCCAGTAAAAACTCGTAGCCTCAGAAACCCTATAAAGAAAGGGTCATTGTGAGTCAGGATTGACCTGAAGGTTTGTCTCCCTTGTTTAAGTGAGGAACACCTGGAGGTTAAGCCAGCTCTTCAGTCACTGTTGTCCTTTTCTCCTAAGGACTCTGGGAGCACACTGAGGGTGGTGGCCCTGCAAGAAGACTGGTGTGTCTATCTGATACAGCTGCGACAGTGGGCTCAAACAAAGCCATGGTGGGGCTGGCACAGGGTCAGGCGGTCTTCCTTCCTGTTGCACAAAGGGTTGGAACTGACAGCTAATTAACACCACCCCGCTTAGCAGGGTGTGGGATTGTTGTTTGCAATTGATTTGGGGCAAGTACAGGTCGTTCAGGTTGACTAACAGGAAGGGTTGGATGTGAGGGGGTGGCAAGAGATTCATGAGTCCAACCCCAGGTCTTGTTTGTCATGTTGAGGAGCTGTGGTTTCAACCTAAATTCCATGGAGTCGTTGAAGAGTTTTTACCACAGGAGATTAATAAGCAGAAGGTTAATAGGAGCAATGAAATGATACGGTTGGAACTGAGGTTTAGGAAGTTTCACCTGGCAGTTGAATATAGACTAGCTTGTAAGACTGCAGAGAAAAGAAACGGAATGCTAGCTAGAACACTGCATTATTCATGATCGAGGAAGTGCATGTGGATTTGAGAGGGTGTTCAGGCTCTTGCCTATTTCAGGGCCTTTGTTTGAAAAGCCCCCTTTGCCTTTCCCAAGACTGTGTGGAATGGCTCTCGCTTTCCATCTGCTGGGTGATCTCCCAACATTATTACTGCCGTTCAAAGGAAGAGAAATTTTGTAGTATAACAATGATCAACAGTCCAAGCAATATCCTGGCCGACTGGTTTTCCCCTCTGACTGTTCCTTCTCTAGCCTAGTTACAGTGACCTTCTTTGGTCCAGAATGTTCACCCTGCTCACACACAGCCAGGGAAGAGAGCCGAGGTCAGGCATCCAGTAATCTCAGCATGAGAATCTTAGCTGCCCCCAGCCTGGTCACCTCCAGGAATGTCATTGTTGTTTGTTTGTATAAGACCAGCTGCAGGGCTCTGGCCCAGACCTGGTGAAAGGGAAGAGGATGGGGGTTGTTCACAAGACCTACTGTGGCTTGTGGCTTCATTGGCCTGTGCAAGCGTGGAAGAAGTAGGAGAGTTCACTTTGGGGTGGCTTCCGGGTGGGCTGGTGGGGGAGTCTGGGAATGGCAGCTGCTAATCTTAGTGGTGAGAGCAGAGAGGAAGCTTGCACCAGCGCACAGATGGGCCACATTTCGAATAGAACCTCAGCTAGCCCTGGAGGAGAAGGGGGAGGTGGAAGCTGTCTTCCTATTCCTGGCTGATGCTAGAAACCAAAACTAGTTTCTTTGTTTTTCAGGGGTCTCACTACGTTTAAAGAGCAGCTTGTCCTATAATTCATTGATTCTGAGATACCTCTTTTTCATTTTCTATCTCTGAAAATAAGATGTACCTTATAATGATTAATGATGTACACTTAAACTTTGGCATATTATAGTTTAATTTTTTCTCAGTGATACATTGAAAATTTTTTTTTTGCTGTCACGAAAAAGTAAGTGTTGAACTGCTACCTTGCAGCAGTTCAAATCCACCAGCTTCTCAGTGGGAGCCAGAAATGGACACCCTTGGAAACTGTATAGAGTTGGAACCAATACAGTGGCAGTGGGGTGGACACATAAACTAACGATGCACTTTATGATCCATGATTTCTTGAGTTCATTGGAATACGGGTTGAGTGCTTGCATGTGTTTGGTAGGAGCTGGCAAGTGTTAAAGAGGTGAGACAAGGTCTCTCTCCAGAAAAGGCCGAATGAAAGGGAGCTGATAGGTGTAGCCTGGGCATGAGCTTCATGGTCACGAGTGAGGAAGTCTGCAGTTGATTTGAAGACTCTTGTTCCGTTCTTGTTTGGAGCAAGCTGTAACAAGAGCAGCAATCAGGATATTCAATAGCTCTCCAATTATTCCATAGAAAGACTTAAACTTCAGGGTCACCTTTATGATTTTTGTAGTGTAAGGAATATCTGCTTTCATTTCTAATCCTGCTAATTTGCATTCTTTCCCCCAAATCATCGATACATTTTACTTGATTGATTCTAATGTTAACGTGTTTTTCTTGTTGTCATTTTATAGCCTGTTGGGTTAGCTTTGGCCATGTAAAATCTTTGTTGAGGATAGCTCTGTGGCCCAGTCCCTGATTTTATTTTTATTGGACACTTTTGCCTTCTTTTTATCTTCCCTAGAAATGTTTTTAATGTAGTGATAGGTTACTTGGGAGAACCGTTTCTTGTTCTGTCATGTACGTAACATGAGCTTATCAGACTTCTAACTTAGGCATTTTAAGGATCCTCATATGATTAATCAAGCCTATATTGAGATTTCTGTGTATATATATGTATGTATGCAGACAGTGTCAAGGTAGACTATATTGAAATATTTATAGAAAAATTCTGCTGTTGTAGAAAAGGTAGAATAATTGATTAAGCCCTAAGGCCTTTGGCTAACATAGTTTGAATTATTGGCTGTATGGTGGCTCACAGTCTGTCTCTGGATTCAGGCTGCTGATATGTGAATTCCAGGAGCCCTGTGGCATAGTGAGTTAAGCATTGGTCAGGATTTTGAAACCGAGGAGGAAGAAGAGGCTTTCTGCGCCTGTAAAGATTTACAGTCTCTGTAACCTGTGGTGCCAGTTCTATTCTGCCCTTCCAAGTCACTGAGTCAGGACTGACCTAATAGCAGTGGCTTTAGTTTTGTCCATGGACAAGTGACTTAACCTGTCCATACCTACGTGCTTTAATCCGTAAAATGGAAATAGTGATAGTACCTATTTCATAGAATCCTAGTAATTTAACTAAGGTAATCTATTATAAAGTATTTCACCTGCCCAGCACAAGGTACATTTTAAATGCTAACTGCTATGTTTTCTCAGTGTGTTTGGCTGGGTTGACTAGAGCATTATATCAAGGAGTAATTATATATTGAGAAAATGGACCAGCCCAATCCTACGCAAATCCATCAGGCCTGTACTGGTGGGCCACACCCACAGGGAGGCACCATCAGCCTGTGATGTGCTTACAGGCTAAATACCACCCTGACACTTTTATGTATCTTCAAGTTGGCATGAAATTATGTAACTACCACACCTAGTGAGTTTTCCCTTTAAGAGTGAGACCCAAGCTCTTGAACTATTTGGTTGAGTTAAAATACATAAAAATGATTCCCGGCACAAGAAGTTCATCAATATGAGTAGAAAATGATCTTCCTGAATTCTTTCAGGAAAAGCCTTCCTTAGCAGAGAGCTGTTCACGAGCTTGGGAAGCTCTCCGAAGATACAGCTTGTTGTCTCTGGTGTTCACGCCTTTGTCCCTAATACCTGGAATAGTGTCTGATTTAGAGTAAGTGGTCAGTAAATACTTGTTAAATGAATGAAAACCAAGTTAATTTTTTTTTTAACATTTTATTAGGGGCTCATATAACTGTTATCCCAATCCATACACACATCAATTGTGTAAAGCGCATTTGTACATCGTTTCTCAAAACATTTTCTCTCCATTTAAACCCCCGACATTAGGTCCTCATTTTTCCCCTCACTCCCCGCTCCCCCTCCCGCCTGAGCCCTTGCAAGTTAATTTTTTTAAATGGCTTTCAGAGGTATAAACTTAACACATGTCGTCAGAAGTATATGTGAGCTCAGTATCGAATGGTGGTCAGGCTGGCAGTGTTTGTGTTTCATGGCGGTGTGTTGGTGGAGCCCTGGTGGCATGGTGATGCCCTGGGCTGCCATCTGCAAGATCAGCCATTTGAAACCACCAGCGGCTGCGCAGGAGAAAGATGAGGCTTTTCTACTTCTGTAAAGAGTCTCGGAAACTCACAGGGGCACTTCTACTGTATCCTGAGTTGCAAATGACTATGGCAGTGAGTTTGGTTTTGTTATTTTGTTACTTTTATTTTTGTTAAAGATCATTTTATTGGGGGCTCTTACAGCTTTTATAACAATCTATACATCAAGTATATCAAGCATATTTGTACATAAGTTGCTATCATTATTTTCTAAACATTTACATTCTATTTGAGCCCTTGGTATCAGCTCTTCTTTTTACCCTCCCTCTCTGTGTTAGTCCAGGTAGACTAGAGAAATAAATCCAGGGAGATTCATATGTGTGTAAGAAGGCGCTTTATATAAAGAGTAATTGTATATTATGAGAACAGCCCAGTCCAGATCAAGTCCCTAAGTCCGATATTAGCCCACATATCCACTCTATAAAGCCCTCTTCAGACTCACAAAACACATGCAATGACGCTGAGTGCAGGAAGATCGCAGGTCAGTGGGTGGGAAGTTTTGTGGATCTAGTGGCATTATAAGCATCTTGGCACTGGCAGGGGTCTCCACATGGCTTCTCCAGTTTCCAGGGCATGGGGTCTATCAGCATAGTGCCCTGTGTCTTGTCAGTAGAGCATCTCTCAGGGAATGATCCAAGAGAGTCTGCCGCCTCCAAGGAGGAAAATACAGTTCCCAGAATCCTCAGGAGAAGGCCGTGCCCACATAGAGGCCTCGTTGGCTGTGACCCAGTTGACAGACTAGACTTCACCCCTTCACTCTTAATCCTCTCTCAAGCCCCAAATTGACACCAGATTATGTAGCTACCACATTCTCCCCTTTCCACTCTCGTGACCCCTTGATAAATTATAAATTATTATTATTTTAGGTTTTGTTATTTTTATAGTATATTTGATACAGATTAAGACATTAGGGATACAATGATGAACAAGGAAGATAAGAATCTCTTTTTAAAAAATTATATTGTAAAACTTAGGTAACAAACATTTTCACAGTTTCACCATTTCTAACTGTCTTGACTCAGTGGCATTAATTCATGAACTATGTCTTGCAGCCGTCGCCACTGCTCATTTTCAAAGATCTTTTCATCACCCAAACGGAAACTCGGTGCCACTTAGTAACTCCCCATTCCCTTCTCCCACCCGCTGGGAAGCATTCATGTGCTTCGGACGCTGTGTGTTTATCATCCTAGGAATGTTATATGTAAATAGGGTTATACAATATTTGTCCTTTGGGTGTCTTTTTTCACTCAACACGTTATGGTTCACTCTCGCAGCATGTGTTGGGACTTCTCTTTATGACTGAATAATATTGTACCAGAGTCTTATTTTCTCGGACTATGTTTTTAAGTGGAGGGACGAGAGAGACAATAAACATAGGAAATGGAGCTCCGTATTTTAAAATAAGAAATGGAGGCCCAAAGATGTTAAATTGAGAATTCTCCATCAAAAGTCTACCCATGCAGCTCATGAAGGCATTGCTGTGCAGAATAAGGAAAATGTGTTCTCTTGTCCGAACCGACTCACAACAACCACATAGTTCTGCTTCGAGTACACTGGACAAAGCACTTAAGTTCTCTGGATCTTGTTTCCATCACCGGAGAGATGGTATTCAAGTTGATCGTTGCGGTGGGGCACGCTTTCTTGTTCCCTGTAGGGTCCTGCTGCTTGATTTGGAGTTGTGTGTGTGTGTTTTCTTTACAGCCATCCACACTGCTGCGATGGACATGTTGGGAGGATCTGGAATTGAAAGCCAATGTAGAAAAGTTGATATCATTGCGGATGCTGCATATTCCATTTTCAAAAAGCCAAAAAATTTTACTGGCAACTTTATCATTGATGAAAATATCTTAAAAGAAGAAGGAATAAAAAATTTTGATGTCTATGCAATTAAACCAGGTAATGGTTAAATACAGGCATTTTTAGTAGTGGTGTGTTTTGATTTATTTGTTTTTTTCAGCATTTCTGCAGTGAACACATCTGTGTGTGTGTGTGTGTGTGTGTGTGTGTGTGAGCGCGTGGGTGTGGGTGTGGGTGTGTTAACCACAATAGAACTGAGCGAAGGCCTTTCATCAGTGCTGTACAGATAGATACAGAAGGTCACATCAACCAC